GAGCATAAGTGTCATGACCATGAGGGTTAGCCAGAAGCATGGGGATTAAGGAGTTAAGTGTACCTAACCAGGTAGCAGGCAGCCAATAGAAATGCAGGTAGGAATTTCAAATTGGGACAAAGGAATTTTTGGTTTTTTCCTTCCTTTGTCCTTAGTCAGTTTCTCTCCAGATAGTGAAGGGGACAGATATCATGTCTCTATCCAAGAAAAGACTCTTCACTATCTGTAAGAAGGGTAACGTTTAGATAAATCCATTAGATTTTATTGTTTTATGTTTTGGGAATAGGAATCTGATGTCTGTGCGTTTAAAAATGGGGTTTCCTCTCCTCTTTTACTAAGCTTTTGGCCCATGCAGATCCCCCATGAGTATATTAATTGGTGACTTTTCCATCGAGTCATTATGCTGGTAACAGGAGTATTGCGGTGGTGATAAAAGTTCTCTCTCTTTTTTTTAAATTAACCTGGTATTGGTTAATTTTTTTGTGTCCTGGTTTTCCTTTAGGGCTGAGATTTCCCAAGTGATCTCTTCCCTGGTTTTCTTACCATTACTTGGGTGGTAGCAGCGGATTTTTATTCCCAAATTTAGGTTTTTAAGATTTTGGGGGGAAGTTTTATACCAAAGCCTGGAAAGATAAGGTTTTGAGGTACTTTTGTGGGCCCCCACTTCTGCATTCATTGTGACAGAGTGGGGATTTAGCCTTGACAACAAGTGAAGGAGGAGAAAATATGTGGTCGCAGGGAAAACAGCTGGTAGAACCCCAACTGCGAAAGGGGAATGGAGAAAAAGGAGAATTCACTGAAAGAAAGCGGGAAAGAGCAGATGGACGATAAGAGAAGACCCACAAAATGCACAAATCATAGAAACCCCAGGAAGAGGCCAGCTGGCTGGACCACAGTGTCAAAAGCAGCAGAAAAGTGTAGGAATACAATTATGGAGGAGTGCTTCTAGATGTGGCAAAGAGGAGGATGTTACTTCAATCACACCACCTGAAATACTGTTTCTTATTGGCTCTGAGTTTTGTGTTGTGCCCCTTACAGAACCTTTATTGTTTTAGATGACAAGGTTAGTGCATATATTTCAAAGCTATATTTTCCCCCATTTAGAATGCAGGTATATTCCTTCTGTGAAACCATGATCTCATCCCATGTCCACACTAGACAAAGAACAGCAGATACTATTTGCTGAATTCCTAGGGCAAGAAAAAAATGGTGTCATGAGAAGAACCGACACATTCGGCATGCACTTCAGCTTCCTTTCAGTATGCTCTGTTTCCCGAGATCAGCTCCAAGATTCATCTCCTCTGGAAAGGAACGGCTGTGAACGTGTATGTGGGATGTCTGTGTGCCAGCAAAACACGTGTGGGGCACATTCAGTATATGTATTAAGATCTTGGTAATATGCAGATAGGCACTGTGTAGTGGGTGCATGTAAATGCAATATTCCTTCAGTATGTGTGCACTGTACATGTGTGTGCAGCATGTGAATGCAGACTGTGCATTCTGTGTACAAATGTATAACTAAATAAAGGGTTTGAAATACAACCTTATAATGACAGGAAATAGATTATTTCAGAGAAAAAACATGCATTATTAATACATTGCTAAATTACTGACATTTAACTTAAATAAAATTGGGGAATTACATTCTTATTCAGATTAAATATAGGTAGTGCATGCTTAATTAACGTACTGGGCATTTCACAGACAATACATGTGCCACATGATTCTAGGGTTGTTATGGTAATTATCTTTTTTCCCCTCTTTCTAAGTGGCACATAAAATAGTCACATAAAAACTGCATAAATGTCAAAGGAAAAAGTTATGTCGCTGTACTACATAGAAACCTGAGCTAATTTTTGACAAATTTCTGGGTTTTTTTAGCTTTATTGGTAATTTAAGTTTTTGCTGTAACTCATGTTCAGTTTTGTCCCTTTCCCTTTATGAGAAGAGCAGACGAAAGGAGGGCAGATAATGAGGAGTAATGATAAAATTTTGAAGTATGACTTGCAGCTTGCCATATTTCCTGTGATATGGTGCATCACTTTCTCAAGAATCAGTCTTTACTATGTACTTGTGTACTTGCAGAGTTAAACATCAGTTAGGATGCATCTAGATTATATTCCTCTTTCGAAAGAGGAATGCAAATGAGGGAAATCAAAAATGTAAACGAAGTGCAGATTTACAAATCCCATGTTTCATTTGTACAATCGTGTCTGATCGCTTTTTCGAAAAAGGTTTTTGTTTTTTTTTAAAAAGCAGTCTAGATGCAGTTCTTTCGGAAAAAAAATAAACCCTTTTTCAAAAGAACCCTTATTCCTGAAAAAGACTTCATCTACACAGCAGGATTTTTGTGCAAGAAGTCTTTTGTGAAAAAACTTCTTGCACAAAAGCGCATCCACACCTCAAAGTGCATCACTTTTGTGATGTGCTTTTGTGCAAGAGAGTGTCCACACTGCATGGATGCTCTTGAGCAAGAAAGCTCTGATAGCCATTAACAGAATGGCCATCAGAGCACCTGTGCTTTTTTGGATAGGCTCTTTTTGAACAAGAAACCCCTGTGGAGCATCCACGCATGCCTTTTTGCGCAAGAGCTGTAGGCCTCTGTTCTGTCAATTGACTGTAGATTTTCTTGCGCCAAAACGTGCTTGAGGTATGGACGCTCCGCAGGTTTTTGCACAAAACCCAGATGTTTTTGCGCAAAAACCTTGTAGTACAGACATAGCCAAAATGAGATTTTACATTGTTCTTTTGAAAAAGGTTTATTTTCCCCCGAAAGAACCGCATATAGACTGCTTTTTTTAAAAAACTTTTTTTGAAAAAGCGATTGGACGTGATTATGCAAATGAAGCATGAGATTTGTAAACCTGCGCTTCGTTTGCATTTTTTCTTTCCCTCATTTGCATTCCTCTTTCGAAAGAGGAATGTAGTCTAGATGTGTCCTTATTGTGCAATGACAAAGATAAAGACCACTAATGTTTTTGTAATGCTACAAAGTAAATTTCCACTCACTTTCATCATAAGAGATGGGCATTTGACAATTTAAGGTAGAAAACCAGCTACAAAGTCTACACTACACACTTTTAAAAAAAATTAGTAACCTATAGCTAACGAATATGTGCATCTAGTATAGCCATTAGAGAGGCACACAAAATAGAGACAGAGCGTATCCTCAAAGCTAAGACAACTCTTCCTCCGTGTTGGATCTTAACCAATCAGAATTACAAACGACTGCCTCTGGCAGCTGATGAGCATTCCTAGGGAATGGACAGGCCCCAAATAGAAAGGAAGGATCTTAAAAACTAAGGTTCAGGGGTGAAGAAATAAGATTCGTATCTTCTGCCTATGCTGTTCTGCAGCAATATATTAACCATTTGTCACTTCAACTTCACAATTATAAATCAATTCTCTGCCCATAACTCAGGCAGAATACGCTTGAGACATGTCATACTTTATAAATTACTGTATGCCTTCTGGTGTAAGAAGACCTTAACTGGGTCTTATCATAACAGTGCTAACAACGACAGGCATGCAATTGGTAATAAATGGTTTTGCCTCGTGCAGAGACCACACACAATAAAGACGAGACAGTCCAGTATGAATGAAAGCCTATAAGCCAGGGGCCAATGAGAGGTGAATCTTTTACGGGCCAGAGAATAATCCTGTTCCCTCTATCTCTGTTTTTCCCATATATCAGTGTCACCTATAAGAGAGCCTTCAAAACAGCTTTTGACAAAACAAGAAGAAAAGGTCAAAGCAGTTCATATTCTCCTCAATATGATTTTTTTTGAAGTCACACATTCTTAGGGATTCCATGATTAATTATTTTAACTGAAAATTCTCTAGAATAAGCTCCTGGCTGAGGCCAAACAAAATATATACAGCATAGTCATCCTATGGAAGGCTTATCAGGCCCACGGAGCAACTGCATACACTTTGGGGTGTACTAAAGGCAAAAATAGTTCAGCTCATCAGAAAGCCAGACAAGATGGTCACGTCTTTCCCCCAAACACATTTTATTCTTCGTGCAATTTCAGTTTTGTTACACATTACAACTGTGATTAATGATGGTTCATTTGCATTTCTAGGGCACCTTTTATCTGACAATCTCTGAGCCATATGCAAACAAATAATTCATCCTCACTGCACTCTGCTGAAGCACATTATTACTCCTCTTTTCCAAATGGGGAAACTAAGGCAGGGGGAAGTTAAACAACTTATCCAAACAAAGTAAAAATCAGTTGCAAATCCCAATTCTTCTGGACTAATTCCCTGCTTTGAATATATCCCCCTCACATTTGATTTTAAAATTAAACTTAGCATTTTGCTAAAATTTTATGGTGTTAATTAAAAAGTACTCTTAAATGAATGTTAGTGCTAGACAAAGTTTTTTTTATTGCCATATTGTGCATTTAATGGTTGGGTCTGCTGCTGCTTCTGCCTTTAGGGTCAGCAGCAACACTGGAAAATCTTGGTCTCAGATTTATCATCATTTATCACATCCATGACATTAGAGGCACATGCCATCCCAAGGTCTTTATTAATGAACTGTCTTTCTAGGCATCCTCTATGTAGATCTGACAGTATAGTGTTCAAAATGAAATATCAATTTCACATTAGTAATGGGTGGATCATATGACTTTCACCACAATTTAAACACATTTGAATAGATACATAGGGCCAAAATCTGTTCTTCGTGCAGCCAGACTAATCAGTAGATCCTGAGGATAGATTCCGTGCTTTAAAAGGGTAACTCTTATTTTCCCTTCTCTCACATATGTATTGCCACATTACTAGTGACATAGGTTTCTAAAAGAGTAAGATCTTCTAAGTGATATATTTGTATGTGTGCACTAATGTCTGTTCCCAGTTACACAGTTGAGACATCTGCACTAGTAGATGATGCAGAAGCTGGCTCTATCTCACTAATGATTTCTGCAACAGAGTGCAGTATAAAAATACAATCTAGGGTTGCATTACAGATGTAAGACACAGATACATACCAAGATGTCCAGGCAGGCTGCTTTAAGCAGAGTGATTTGGTCTGCAATAGTCAAACTTGTAAAGCCAGGCAATCGTTTTGCAAATTCCACTATTTTAATAATGCACTTTGTAGCAAGTTCACTGAATTTGTCCCAAAGCCCAAGGTCCAGTCGAACCCGATGGTCTGCGCTAGAGTTCTGGAAAGAAGACAAGGCATCATAAATCAACAGTCTCCTGTCCAATGAAGTAACTGATTTGCTAGTAAAATCATAATTGAATATTTCTGCTAGAAGTGCTTTCTATTAGCATTCCAGGCATTTTCTGAAAAGTTTGCTGTTGTGATGCTGCTGGTTTAAAACTTGGATTAGTTTCCTAAACATTCTTTGAATGTTTCTGTTACTTATGATTACAGTGGCCATCTGTACACAGAATACAAATGAACTTACAACATTTCCAAATGCCACTACCGTCATTCTTTCCTGTCATTATATAATGAGTGCATTGAGACAGAGAGACAATTTACATTTGAACCCCTGAAAATAAAATGAACAGTGGATCTGGAACATTGGTTCCCCATCTGGAAAAAAGCAGCTAAATATTTTGGAACACAGTTTCACATACGTAAGGTCTTAGAGAATTGGTTCTATTTAATTTCTCTCCCTCTGGCTCTATGAAGGTTTTACAGCTCTCTCAAAATACCGTCCATCCTGAATTGAAAAGTATTTCTTTACATAATGTTAAAATGCTTCCTCTGACAATGAAAGCACTATGCACAATGCTGAGGATTGTACATTAATTTGAGAGCACAGAGTTCATTATGTTACAACATATTTTCCTAGCAAACTTTGGGTATTGTGGAAACATTCTAAAAAGACATATTCCCTCCCTAGTTATGCCTATATAGAAACACACAGATTAACTCTGGATTAAGATGTCTCACTGCAAGATCCATGTTAAAGTGATGGAGTTTATGTTTTCACAATTCAAAAAGGAGACTGACTAATCTCTCTCCTCCTCCTCCTCTCTGTGCCTCCCCCCCCCAAAAAAAAATCCAAGTTGTAGTGGAGAATCATGTCTGTAATATTTACATGAATCTATACCTTTAACAGCCACCTCTATGTTGAAATGTGCTCTCTTTTTAAAAAGACAGGAAAAATACCCCATCGCTTCTATTTAAAATCTATCCTGGGGAGCCAGCTTGGGGTTTTTTTCATGATAGAAGAGAAGACAAGAGGAAGTGTCTCTATAATGCTAAACATCAAAAGTTTCCTTCAAAATAGACCAAAAGGAATGGGTTAACAGTCACTCTAATGCCTTTTGAAATATTTCTTGCAGTTACTGAGTATGCATCCTTCAGATTTATTTTATTTCACCCTCAAGGACCTTGGTGAAATATAGTACATCAGGGGGAAAATAAGATCAAGATGTGCAGTCATTCAGACTGTAATTAAATTTAATAAGCAGTTTATCCAGTTCATAGAAAGATGGCATAGGATAGAGCTACACAAAGCAAAGCCTAAAGCAGGAAACCATTTTACAATAGGGTATCCATCTGGAAAAAAAGATGATGCATGAAACCAGCAAGTGTGAACAAAATCTTCATCAGTATCATATAAGGTTATTTTACCATGCTACACTTCTGGCAAAGGGAAGTTTGACATGTCTTCTATTAAAACTAATGCACAGCAGTGTTAACAAAATGTACATCTAACTCTCTATTAGGCAAACTGAAGCAAAGTGACTGTTAATAAAGCACAATAATTTGTTTTTTAATTATACTGGTTGCCAGATTCATTGGCACTGGATGTAAAATTGCTAATGCATTATTTTCCAAATGCTGCAAATAGAAAGCCTTTTAACATTTTTTCTGGTAATGAACACAGTGATAAATCTCATTGAAAACAGCTAAGTTTTAACAGAAGTCCTGCATGTGAAAAAAAAGTTGACCTACATCATCAACGTAGAGACTGAACAATAAAACAAGAGGTTAATAAAATGCCTGTTGGACCAACAAACTGATTAGCAGTGCTTGGGGATGTTCTCTATTCAGGCTGTGAAAAAAAATTAAACATGAGGTGTTTTGCTGAAGCATGTTTTTTTGGGTGCCTCTTCCAAGAGCAGGCCATGCACAAGTTCAAGGCTTATGTTTCCCCTACTCTCACATTAGTGCACACATGGTGGAACAATACTTAATGCCCACTACTGACATCTTTATCAGTGGCCAACTGCAACCATGCTATAAAATTCAATTAAGGAGTAATTTTTGCCCCATAAGTGGATCCCATTTTTATTCACTTCTGCAATCTGCTCTATCTCCATGTAACAATACACAGCAATGTCCTCGAAGGAATATTCACATAGTTCTGGAATCCCTGCTATCTTTAAAATCCACTTTCCAAATGGAACAAGGCTCAGAGGCACCACGGTGGTTTGAACAAGGACAACTGCTATCCTTCCTTAGCAAAAGTAGCAATGCATTAAGTCTAATGCAACTGTGGTGGTCAAGGAATTCAGCACGTACCTTTGCTGAATGCCAGTGCCATGATATATTAGTATAGTATCTTTTTAAAAGTACAGAAAAGTGGCCTTGTAACTTTAAAGTTGAACATCTACAAAGAACAAATTACCTGCAAGATGCCTATTTGTACGCCCCCAAAAGCACTGTTTGGGACAACCTCAAGCATGGTCCATAGAGTATTTTCTGTTTAATTTTTCCTTCTATCTTGAGTCTGGATGTAACACAGCTGTAGACTTACAAATAATATCAATCTCAAGGGATAAGAAGCATAGTTACACTAAATTATATTATAAAGCATGACATCTCCAGAGAAATTACTAAGGCACTTTCTCTTAGCTAGATGACAGTAATAAAACAGATCTATTTAGGATGGACTTTTGAAATCCATTATGTTTAAACAGATTGCTGGTTCTCATCATTAAAAGAGCTACACTTGCCCAGCAAATGTACCTGTTAATTTAAATGACTTGGGGAATTTAATACGAGACAGATATTCTTCAGTTATTATAAGTAAACTCTTTCTTGCAGAATTGTTAGCAATGGGGACACCTTATAGAAGGGATATAACATTTTCTAAAACATATTTTTCACAAACCACAATTTTTAAATGGGGAAAATATGTTACCTCCAGGATAGAACAGGTATACAAAACGTCTTGGTTTCCTAAATAAACTGCAGAGTTAAAGAATAAATAAGGATATTCTAATACTTGCAGTCCAAATGCTTAAATAGATTTCCGAGGGTTGCTTCAGTACTTTTTTGGTTACAGCTATTTTGCCTCTGTCTTCTGTTGTTACAGATTCTAGAGCAGTGGTCACCAATCAGTAGATTGGGATCTACTGGTAGATCTTGGAGCTTCTGACAGGTGATCCTGACTGGTTTGGCCAAGAGGCCATCAAGTGCCAGCACTTCAGCTGCCCCTGCCCTACTGCTGTGCATCTCCTGCCCTTTGACATGGAGCTGCCTCCCACAACCCCTGGGAGCCTCCTGCTTGCTGTGCAGGGCAGGAGAGGGAGAAGAGGGGTGATGATGTCAAGGTGCCCCCTCTCCCACCCTGTATCCTATCTCCACAGAGCGGGGAGGGAGGACACAACAGGACTTGGGATGGAGGGAGTTTGCTGGCTGCTTTTGGGAGTAGTGCAAGGACAGGGGTAAGCCTGCCTTAGCCCTACTGCACCACCACCTAGGAGTCACCTGAGGTAAGCAGTGCCCAACTGGAGTCCACATCCTGAACTCCTACCCCAATTGTCAATCCCCTCCTGCATCCCAAGCCCTTGCCCTAGCCTTGAGAACCCCTGCATCCAAACACCCTTCCACAGCCTGCACCTAGAACCCCCTCTGGCATCCCAAAAGCCTGCCCCAGGCTCAGCTCAGAGCCCCTCTCACACTCCTGATCCCTTAATCCAAGACCAGCACCTGCACCCCAACCCTCTGCGCCTGCCTGCTGAAAGTGAGGGAGGATGGGGGCAGGGGGGAAGGGAGAATGGAGTGAGCAGGGTTGGGGCCTCAGAGAAGGGGCACAAAGGAGGTGGGAGAAGGGTATTTGGGTTTGAGGTAGATCTTGGATTGCACTTAAATTCAAAAAGTGATCTCGTGCTTAAAAAGGTTGGAGATCCCTGCTATAGAGCCTTTTGCTCATTAGAAACAAAAATACCAAAACTGGTTTCAAACAGAGTGCTACTAAAATGTAAAAGAATATTACCGACAAAGCAGAGTTTCCTCTTTAAATGTGCAGGTCAGTAAGCTCACAGGGAAGGAACAGTTCTATAGATTATTTCAATGTTATCTCTAAGGCTTTTTTTTTAAATTGTGAAGCAGCTTACAGAACCAATTCACATGGCATAGCAAAACAGTCTTTCACAAAGTGCAGAGATTTACTGTTCTACTAAATGATAAATAAAGGCTCCCAATAGAAGCATGACTAGATAATATGTCTGTCCACAATATTGCTATCACGAATAAAGTTGAATAAAAAACTTCTTACACATCTAGCTTTATTTGGCCTCCTAATTTTTTTAATGGTTGTTTATTTCTAATTTCTTAGCACATCTCTGATTTCTATAGTTCCACAGCTCAGTTTCATATGCCTTTTAAGGGACAGCTTACTGTATTACCAAACCTTGCAAACTGATGAATATGCATCGTACATAGTCTAACAAATACATGACTCTTCCATTTCCTTCTTTCATCCCAGTAAGATCTGAACTTTTAAAATCTTTGGCATTAGAAAATTACTAAGCCAAAGACATGAGATTGCATTTTGTTCTGAACAGTGAGGTTTGTGATCCCCAAGCAGCTGTGAAAGCCACAAACCCCACTGCTTATGAGTCTAACCTTTAAGATAAAGGCATGGGCATGACATAGTAATTATGAGTTCTTAAAACAGATTCCTATGTAAACACTAAGATGATAACGAGGGCATAGTCATATCAGTGATTTAAATAGCCTACAATTCAGATACAGGGGTGAAGTCGTCTGTGAACCAAATACAGTAGTGGTATTAAAGTGGTATTCTATCAGTCTTTATGTATCTATGGCTCACAGTCTAGCTCACTCATAGAAACTGCTCACTGTTTTCTGCAGTTGCAGGGACATAAGATCCTGGTTAAGCCAAAATAACCTTCTCTGGAGGAGGAAGGGTTAATAAATAAGACTTTTATTCAACCCAAACACCATAAACCAGCAGAGCTGCTAGCCATATTTCACTCAACACTGCAGTTCTTGAACTATGGATTGACACCCCCCAAAGATTGCGAATTAATTTGAATGGGGTCGCCAGGCCCATTGTTACAGGTACTGGGGCCCACAGCAGAAAACCAAAGCCCAAGCCTCACCTCATGGGGCTGAACCTGAAGCCAGGCAGCAGGGCTTGGGTTTGGGCTTGTGCTGTCTTCCCTGATCCCCAGAAAGTCCAACACCGGTAGTGCTGAAGCCTGAACCCCACTGCATGGGGCTGAAGCTGAAGCCTGAGCAATTTAACCCTGTGGCTGGGATTACGCTGTAATGTCTGTTGTCAGAGGGGTCGCAGGGCAATGACGTTTGAGAACCGCTAAGAAAAACCATCCGGCAAATTCCATAAACCATTGCAAAACCACCAGCCAAACAGGGATTGCTCCTATGCCTCCAAACCTCTCTGTTCTGACTCCACATCAGCAACCTCTTGTCTCAGCCTCCCATGAGAAATGATCGAATCAGTCCTTAAATCAAACTCAATCTAGCTTCCCTGGGCTCCTCAGCTCAGGGAGGCACTTCCAGCCAGGGCTTTGAAATCCCTGGTGCTAGTGAATGCCACTGTGCGGCTCAGTGGTGGCATTACAAGCAGTACTGAATGTAGTGATGTTCTCATTTACAGTACCTATATTTATATCGTGCCAAGAACAAGAAAATTATATAGTTATACTGTAAGCATCCAACTTAGTTCATTTGCCACACAGCCTGTGTGCTTAAAATTCTGGAATGCATGCCTGTCTGAGGACATACATTCCAGCTGTGGACATATGATCAGCTGTGACACAGACAAAAAGCGGTTTCCCCTAAGCTCAGAAATGTTTTCCACTTATCTTTCAGAAATGGCCTAACGTTTACCGAACTGCAAATCTATTTAGATGCCCTTCAGTTTAAGATAAGTTAAGTCACAACACATTTTTGTGGTTAAAAACCAACACAGACGATTCATTGAAAAGCCTCCCCACAAATCCCCAACATGGATGTCTCAAGTTAAGAACTTCCAATTATGTCACCAGCTGGCTGTTATCAAGTTTGCAGCCCAGCACAATGCACTGATCCCAGGAGAGTTGAACGTGCTTGGCCACTTCAGTAATTCCTGTTATTTAACGGCATGCCTGCATTGATTGTTTTGACTAAATCTAACATGAGCAGCAGTAAGGCGATACTGCCAGAGAAGCACGTAGCTGGGTAGGTTTTTTCCAGGGCAAACATATTTATGCTATTCTCAAAATCAGATACGGAAAAGGTTAGCAAAAATGTTACATTTTTCATCTCTGGGCATTAGAAATCACAATATTTGCACTTGCCCTCTTGCAATTTAATTTTGCAATCACATGAATTTTCTTTTTAAACCAGGTGTGGGGGAAGAGAGTACACTGAATGGTGCACAAAGTCAGTGAACACCAATTACCCTCAGTTAAGATTTGAATAACTGAAAATTGTAAGGTCTGACAAAGCACTTCAAGATGGAGCTTCTCATGCACGGACTGAGGGTGGACCTTTAGATCTTGGCTCCACAGCACAAGTATCACATCTACTCGGCCGTCTCTGATCTCATGGCCAAGCAAGCAGGAACGCACGCTCAGTCTTATACAGTGCCTGCTGCAGAGTATTTTACACCTTCCTCTGAAACATCAGGGATTTGCCAGAGTCAGTGACAAGCCACTGGATTAGACAGAACACAGGTCAGCTCCAGTATAGACATTCCTATTTTACTCTGACTTTCACGGTAATTTTATGCATATCTAGTGTATGAAAAGCTTGACGTGTTTCTTCAATAATATATATATGTTCTGCAGTCTTCTATCCTTTTATCAACACTTACTACATATATGTGTACATAAGAAAAATCTCTCTCTCCACCTTTTTACATAGATATAATTGTATACACTGTATATTATATATACTATCGTATATTGTGGGGGTAATTTAAATTAAAAATTGGCATTATTCCAAATTAAAATGAGGAACATAATGTCTGCATTCTTCCTGGTCCCAATAGCTAATCTCATCAATTTTGAGATTAGGCAAGATTTGTAGCCATAATCCAGTAATGTTTAAAGTCGCCTCATCCATGAGACTCTAGTCCTCTAAAGCTCAGAACACATGAACGCTCATACTAGGTCAGACCAAAGGTCCATCTAGCCCAGTATCCTGCCTTCCAACAGTAGCCAATGCCAGGTGTCTCAGTGGGAATGAACAGTACAGGTAATCATCAAGTGATCCATCCTGTCACCCATTCCCACCTTCTGGCAAACAGAGACTAGGGACACCATCTCTGCCCATCCTGGTTAATAGCTATTGACGAACCTAACCTCCACGAATTTATCTTTTTTTTTTTTTAAATGCTGGCATTGTCTTTGCCTTCACAACGTCCTCTGGCAAGGCATTCTACAGAGTGTGTGTGTCATGTGAAGATACTTGTTTGTTTAAACCTGCTGCTTATTAATTTAATTTGGTGACTACGTCCCCCAATTCCTGTGTTATGAGAAGGAGTAAATAACACTTCCTTATTCACTTTCTCCTTGTTATTCATGATTTTTAATATCCCCCTCTTAGTCATCTCTTTTCCAAACTGAGAAGTCCCAGATTTATTAATCTTTTCCCATATGGAAGCTGTTCCATACTTTTCATCATTTTTTGTCATTTTCTTAACCTTTTCCAATTCTAATACAGTACATCCTTTTTGAGATGGGACAACCATGTCTGTACGCAGTATTCAAGCTGTGGGCATACCATAGATTTACAGAGAGCAATATGATATTTTCTGTCTTATTATCTATCCATCCCTTAATGATTCCCAATATTCTGCTAGCATTGACTGCCACTGAACATGGAGTGGATGTTTTCAGAGAACTAGCCACAATGACTTTAAGACCTTAATCTTGGATGAGATTTTTTTTCTGAAAAAGGGATCCTTCACCTTGAACAGTAACTGGTGTTCTTTGAGATGCATATGCCACTGTTGCTTCAATTCCTTCTCAACCATGAAAATCCAGCAAAAAAAACTCCAAGGCAGAGGAAGGAGGGAAGATTCTGGAGCATCCCTAGAGAGATACAGCTGGAAGAACTCCAGTTGCTGTACAAAGTAAATAGCCTCTCCTTTTTCTTTAAGTAGTAATCATATGGATGATACTGCTTTCTTTCAGGAGATTCCCAAGCAGAATCTAACCTATAGATTCAGTACTGACCATAGGACAGCATCACCAAGCTGCACCTGGCTCTGGAAGCAGGCACAAGATTAAAGAAATTGATCTACATGAGTATAATTGTTAGAAAATGTCTCACATATCCATGCCAACATTCCAGTCCCCCCTGTATCTTTCTAAGTGTGTTCTTTACAAACAGCACTTACGGTAGTGTATTTTCCCAGCTGGCAGAGAGAGGGAAAGGTTTCCTGGTGAGCTTTTCGAATTTTCTCAGTGAGATCATCCAACTCTGCTGTCATTTCATAGTTTTCCGTAAACTCTTGCTTTGAAGGCTCCTTCTTCTTTTTGTTCCTGTCATTTCTGACAGCTAGAGACAAGAAAGGAGACAGTTCAGGTGTGGTTAGTGAGACTGTTCAGGTGTGGTTACTGAGACTATTTCATATTGCTTTCACAGCTCCTCTTCAAAGTATTGCCACAGATTTTTAAAAAACATTAAACATGTTATTTTGGATAGAAAATGTTGCATAAGTGCAGAAGAAAAATACTTTTGCTATCAGTAAAAATTAAATTGAGATGGGCCAACATGCCAATTTCTCATGTACTCATCTAGCAAGTAAAATCCAACTTCCTACAGCAAGTTTAAGACCTTCTGGAGGTATCTTAGGCCATACTTTAAATTTCTACAGTGTCTGCCACTGAGGAGCCCCACCACAATCTTTCCCACATTCATGAAATGTCTCACAATAGCTTTGTGATGCACAAATTAATAATCTAGTATCATTTTCTAACAAAGAAATCAAGGTGCAGAGTGCTAGTATGATTTGATCAAGGTAACAAAGTCAGCAATAAAGCTGGGAACAGAATCCACATCTCCTGGTTCTATGTTCTGTATTTCAGTGATTCTCAACCAGGAGCGTGGGAGCCAACAAGCAGGTTTCAGGGGAACTGCCAAGCAGGGCCAGAATTAGACTTGCTGGGGCCCAGGATAGACAGCCAAATCCCTACTGCGTGGAGATGAAACCAGGACCCCAAGCCCCACTTAGGGCAGAAGCCAAAGCCTGGACAATGTAGCTTCATGGGGTCCCTGTTCCATAGGGCCCCAGGCAATTGCCCTGTTTACTACCCCCTAAGGAGCCCTGACTTTCGTATGTAGAAAACCAGCTATTGTATTCGTGGTGTTTTTATAGTATGTTGGGGAGGGACCTCAGAAAGAAAAAGGTTGAAAATCATTGGTGTGTGTTAACCTTAAAACGGTCTCTTCCTGATAGGGCACTTTCTCCCAAAACAGTGCGATTCAAAAGTCATTTCTTTAATGAATCCATTGTTTTACAAACTGTACCCATTTAACTCTGTAAAAGCATGTAGACAATGGGCAACTTCTGGCACAGCAGACATTTTGAAATCAATAATGAAAATTCCAACTTAAAAAATCATTATAGATTGCAAAGCCAGAAGGGGCCATTGTAATAGTCTAGGTCTGATCTCCTATGTAACATAGGCCGCAGAACTCCCCCAAAATAATTGCAAGAGATCTTTCAGAAACAGCCAATCTTGATTTAAAAATTGTCAATGAGGGATAACCCTTGATAAACTGTTCTGATGGTTAATTACTCTTGCTAAAAATTTACACCTTAATGCTTATCTGAATTTGGCTGGCTTCTGCTTCCAGCCATTGGATCAAAAACATTTCTCTGCTGGACTGACAAGCCCATTATTAAATATTTGTTTTCAATGTAGGTATTTATAAACTACAATCATCCCCTACCCTTCTCTTTGGTAAGCTAAATAAATGCAGCTCTTGAGTCTATCACAATAAGGCACGTTTTCTAAGTCTTTTCATCATTCAAAAGCTCTTCTCTGAACCTTCTCCACTTTACCAGTGTCCCTCCTGAATTATTGGCATCAGAACTGGATATTTTGTGTTTCCTTTGGCACTGTTGTAATCTCTTTACTCCTACCTGAGAGATTTATGCATATCAAAATTGCATTAGCTCTTTCAGCCACAGCATCCTATTGGGAGCTGACAGTCATCTGACACTCAGCTGATTATCCACCACAGCACCCAAATCCTTTGTAGAGTCACTGCTTCCTAAGATAGCGTCCCCCATCCCGTAAGTATGGACTACATTCTTTGTTCCTACTATGGATACATTTACATGTTCTTGTATTGAAATACATATTGTTTGTTTGCACCCCGTTTACCAAACGATCCAGATTGTTCTGAACCCAGTGACTTTACACCTTTATATTTACAACTCCTTCAATTTTTTTGTCATCTCTCAAACTATCAATGATGATTTTATGATTTCTTCCCAGATCACTGATAAAGTTAAATAGCGTGGAGCCAAGAACTGATTCCTGCATGAGCTCACTGAAAACATACCCAACCAATGACAATTCCCCATTTAAAGTTACATTTTGAGACCTATCAGTCAGCCCATTTTAATCCATTTAATGTGTGCCACATCATTCTAGTTATTTAATCCAATGTCATGTGCTACCACGTCAGCCAGATTACAGAAGGTTATTAAACACTGTCACACTTTTATGAACCAACTTCCTCAAAAAACACGTATCAAGTTAGTTTGACAGGATCTATTTTCCATGAACTCATGCTGATCTGCATTAATTACATTACCCTCCTTCAATTCTTTGTTAATCAAGTCCCATGTCAACTGATCCATTATTATGCCCGGGATCAAAGTCAGGGTGACAGGCCTAATCATCCGATTTACCTTTTTAAAAACTGACACATTAGCTTTCCACCAGCCTCATAGAACCTCCCAATGTTCCACAGCTTATTGAAAAATCAACATTAAAGATGCAAAAAAGGTCCATTGAGCTCCTCAGCTAGATGGAGGATTCTAATAAGAAATAAAAGTAAAGATCTCCCAAACACATACATACTAACTGCAATACCAATGCCCAGTCTTATTCCACTTCCCTTATTTTACATAATGTATTTTTGTTGGAAATAGCAATTAAATGATATATGAGGCACAGAGGCCTTGTATCAGGCTATCAAGTGAGTGTACGTACAAAACACGTGAGCCATAATGTACCTCAGTGGCTTTTATCATTGAGATTCTCAAGCTTGACATTCCCCCAAAACTGTAGAAGAGGCTAAGAGAGAATATACAACTTCTGCCCCACCCGCTCATTGGTTGTTGTGGATTTTATGTATGTTTAGGTCAACAGTGTATGTATATTTCAGTACTGTTCCAAATTCTTGCCCATTAAAATGATCACAATACTACAGGCATGTTTATACATTTTTATTCATGTATAGAAATGACAGAGGAGGTTATGTAGGAGAGCGCCATTATATATGAAAGAAAGCATAGAGTGAAATATAATTAATATCTTAAATAAATCCAACTATACCACAGAATCCCTATGACTAGAGTAATGCTTGGGTAATAAGAGTACAGTGATATGGATATACTACTGACCCTGTGACCAGGATGGAAGCTGTGAAATGCTTCAGGAGATTAGAGAAGCTATGAAAAATAGAAAACTCAATAGGGGGGATTTCAACTATCTCCATATTGACTGGGTACATGTCACCTCAGAATAGGATGAAGAAATGAAGTTTATTGACACCATAATGACTGGTTTGTGGAGCAGCTAATCCTGGAACCCATAAAATGAGAGGCAATTCTTGATTTAGTTCAAGGTAGAGCACAGTATCTCATAAGAGACTGAATATAGTTATACTGCCTGCCAATAGTGGCAATGTTATAATTTAATAACCTTGTAAGTGGGGAAACACCAAAGAAGCTTGCCACAGTAGTGTTTTAACTTCAGTAAGGGGAACTACTCAAAAATGAGGAAGCTAGTTAAACAAAAATTAAAAGGTAAAGTCACAAAAGTGAAATGCCTGAGTAAAAGGACTAAAAAAGTATCATCATGATTAAAATCTCTTGTCCTGTCCAAATAAAAGGCCAAGGTTCTCCTTACATCAAGCATATGGAGTATGGCTTCCATATGATCCCGGTGAGGCTTAGGATAAAGGTCAGAAGGTGAATGAGTGGGTGCATGTGAAACACGGAAGTCACGTTGGGGGTGAACTTTGGATGTGGTCCAAGAGTACGTCTAGACTACCGCGTTTTGTCGACAGATACTGTCGACAAAACTTCCGTCAACAAAGAGCGTCCAGACACATTGAGTTCTGTCGACAAAGCAAGCTGCTTTGTTGACAGAACTCCGTAGTCTGGACGCAATGTTACAGGCAATAACACCTTCTGTCGACAGAGTTCTGTCGACAGAAGGTGTTATGCCTCGTAAAATGAGGTATACCAACGTCGACAAAACTGCTGAGTTCTGTCGACGTTATGTCGACAGAACTCAGCGGTAGTGTAGACGCTGGTATAGTTTTGTCGACAAAAGTCCACTTTTGTCGACAAAACTAGGTAGTCTAGACACACCCTAAGTGTGACATTTTGGGAGGAAGAACACTGGAAGGCGGATTGTACAATGAAACTGCTATCTCCCCTATCTTTCTTTCTGAGGTAAGTCTTCATGGAGAGGTGAGCTAAAGAACAAGTAGCCATTGGTCCAAAGGGTGTTCTAGTCAGTTCTTTTAATACTATATTGAGATCCTGTTGTTGGGTCAGGAGAAGAGTTCACTATGCCTTTGAGAAACCTCATCATAGTTGGGTGGGGGAAAATGGATGTCTCCTTAGCTCAACAGAAGGCAGGAAGTACCGTGTCTGTGTGCTTGCCAAGGGCCCCAGTAGGGCCACTGGGAGGGTGGGAAGGGACCTGGTGGTACAATAGCTGCCGATACCAGGGAGACTGAGGATCAGAGTTGTCTGGGACTGGAGGCTTTGAAATAAAAAAGGAGCAAAGGGCTTGTGGCTCCCAGCCCTACCGCTACTGCATTGCCTGGCAGCTGCCTGCAGTTGCTGTGGCTATATAAAAGGCTCACAGCTCTGGCCCCTGATGAGGTAGTGCCAAAACTGGGAGCCGGGAGCTATTTAAATAGGATCCTGCTGACTGAAGTGACGCCTGGAAATTCAGTGGCACAGGCAGCAAGATATAAATACAGTAGTGGTCAGATGCAGTCCGAGTCTGCTGGCCAGATCAAAGTGTTAGGCCAGATCTGACCCCTGAGCAGCATCTTGCCTGGTCCTGCTGTAGAGGCGTGTGAGAAAAATATATAAACGGTAATTAAGGCCATTCAATGTTAGTTAGGCTAGAACTTTGAAATGCAAACCTGTATTGTTAGAAATAAGAGGTAATACTAGTTCAATGCTTATTTATATCTTACATATGCTAACCATGTAAGAGAGAGTTCCAGTCTATCGCTGTAACGGATGATTCAGAGATCAAAAGGTAATGTTAGCATTTAGATGAAACTTGGAT